AGCGACAAGCTCATATGTTGGCATTTCCCTTAACCTGAGCACCAGAAAAGCAGTTCTGTAACTGCTAGAACAGACGTAGAGGTCAGTTTGACTTTTACATGAATTTCACATGAATTTTGAATTTGATATGCATATTTAATGCTTATTTATACCTAAACACAGATTAAATCAAGAAACAAGCACATTTGGTTTATTTGGATATAAGAAATGTCAAGATGACAGATTAAAATCTGGAGTTTTAATAATAATTTACTAATTATTAATTAATTTATTAAGAATTAATCCATAAGCATGCAGTATTGGTTAGACTACATAAGCTATACAGTACAACGTTGTAATTTTTAATGCATATGGAAGGCTATTCATATTATTAGGTAATAAATACCTAGCCAATCTCTGAAGTGGCCAAAGCAGTCAAAATGATAACTAATTGATCAGTATTCATAACTGAAGAAATTATTTATATCTATTTTTTTTTCTTTCATTTTTGACGCAATTTGAAAACAGTTGCTCTTTACATTGTGTGAAAGTTTGAAGAATGGACCAATAGAAACACATGAACGTACATTGAAAGTTAATGGTTTTTTTTTTTTTCATTTTCCTGAAAAGTTGCCATGTTTTAATGTAATATATTCATGTGGAAATTACACACATATCACAACTAAATAAGTTCAGAAAAAATCCAAACACTTTCTCAATGTATGAAGTTAAAGGCCTCCTGTGTAAGAGCACAAATTCAGGGTGTGTTCAACATCACCACAAAAGTATGGGCACCCCAGCTTTAGACACAGGCCAGAGAAGGGACGAGGGAGAACAAGTTTCTCGGTTGGGTTATTTGTATTGTTTTGTTTTTTTCGTCTGGAAGATTTTGACTGTTTAGTTAGATCAGTAACTCACACTCTAACTTACTTTACACTCGTTTTAAAGTGTTGTGATTTAGTTGTGACGGTGAAATAAAGCAGCTGACGTGAGGCATTGTGACTCAGTGTTTTCGCGACTCTGTTAGGTATGAGTGAAGTATAAAAAGTGTATTGAGGCGTTGATGTAGGCATAGCTCACTGTTGCCATGTGAACTGTGAGAACAGCATCCTGTCGACAAGGCTATAATGTCCCTCATTGTGTTAAATGAGGAGAGTCCCAGTTGCTAATCAGCAGAGTGCAGAGCTAATTGGTGCTGCTGTCAGGCCCGGTTCATCACCAGTGTCCCTTTCTCCAGACAGCTGAAGGTCCCTTTTGACCCACTACAGCAACCATTCACCTCACAACGTCCAGGCTGGATTAGCAAACATTTGGCTGACCGAGAAAGCAGATCTTTCTCAGCCAGCCAGTTAAGCCTGTTCTGCAGTTCAGCCCTTTACAGTATGCTCCATGTCACCTTACAGGAATGCTGTGTATCTGTAGCACGGATTTAAGTGACCAAAGAGATGGAAGGGATGACAGTATTTAAATCATTTCGTTGTCTATTTTGGGTTGTGTATGAAAGGTCGTGGCTTTTTTCTTTTAAACAATTTCAGATTTTCTCCATCCATACTATGATCTACCAGGTTCTGGACAGTAGCCACGTTTACATGCTGCCTAATAATTCATTAATAATCCGACTAATAGCTCAATCGGAATAGATTAGTCAGATTGAGGCCATTCAGAGTACAGTTTCTATCTGATTGAACGAGGTAATCCTGTAAATAATCCGTTAAATAGAAGAATAATAACAGTGTAAACGTCTGTATCTGATTACATTCCCTATCAGAAAGTTTAAGTCCGTTCTGATCATGTTCGTCGCGTCATAGTGAAAGTTTATACCATTCAACATGGCGGAGCAGAAACTGGTCTGCAGAGGAGACGAAGTTTATGCTCTGATCTTTAAAAGGCGGCGGTGGGACGGATGTCCAGCTTATGTGTCTGAGAGCATGACGTCTTCCTCTCGCTGCTTCCTTAAAACATGTGAAGGACATTTTTCTGCCAGAATTTTAAAGCAATTAAAAACACAAGCGCGCCAGCTGAAAACTCGCCTCACTCTGACTGGACTCACGTGATGCTCGCTGTCATGGTAACATTTACTCTAAGTGGTTCTCATTTTGGATCTGATTACTTGTAGTGAGCATGTAAACAGAGATTTTCCATCAGATTGTTGAGTAGAGTGAGAATAAACACCTCGGTCTTAATCTGTAACCAAAATGTATTCAATACAATTCCTTTTTAATATGAAATGAATATTATAGATGTTGTTCAATCACAAAAGGCAAAGACAGCAGAAATATTACTGTTTTTTGCTGATTTTTTTTCATCCAGAAATCAATCATGTCAATTACTTATGATTTCTGAAGTTCATAGCAAATCATATCACACAGTTACAGTTCCCCATGACCTCATGTGTGCCAGTCAAGACAGTCCAGTAAGGGAATGCCCATTGAACAGCCTTGACTTTGATCTAACTTTGGGCTGTTTAGCTAACTGAGGAATCCTCTGAGTGAAATACCTGTCTAATCTCTGCATCTGTCCTTCATCTCTCTCTTCTTCCCTCTTCCTGTTTCTCCTTTTCTCTCATACGCATCTCTGAGGTGATGGACTGTGCACCTTTTATCTCTCCCTTTGCTAAGAAATGTGTCACAGGGATGCGCCACGTCAGTAAAGAAGCCTGATTTACGAGTTTCGTGACTGTATTAACTCCAGAGATAAGAGCTTTCCAGTCATTCCAGCCCTTGACCCCAGATGACCCTAAAGCAGCCGCCCCCACACACACACCTACACGCTCCCTCTTCTTTGGCTCTCTGAGCCGCTCTCTTCCTCGTGCCATCTAGCTCTTCCACTGTAGATTAGAGAGTTTTAGCTTAATTAATTGACAATGAGTCTAATTGCTGTTAATGAAGGCTGGGATGAGGAACAGCTGCAGTAGGTGTGATTGCTGTGCTTACAGGAAGAGAAGTAGTTTGTTCTCTCCTACACGGGTCTGGTCTGGTGATATTTTTGGATCCTCCCGCAGAACAATAGGTGCTCGGAGCTGAAATATTACGAAGCTCTTTTGAAGTTCACTTAGACTTCAGATTTAGCTGTAGGCTGGAAACAAAGTCTACTTGTTTCATAATTTTCGTGTGACATTGTGCAATACTGTGGCTCAGTGCTATTACTATACCATCACCTTGTAAGGAGTTGTCAGGTCATTATAATAATAATTACTACTACTACTACTACTACTAATAATAATAATAATAATAATAATAATTTTTGTATTTATTTAGCACCTTTCTCAAACACGATGCTTTTCAAGGCTACAACACTACAGATCAACAGCAAACAAAACCTACACACACACACACACACACACACACACACACACACACACACACACACACACACACACTTTCCAGCTGGCAGAGAGAAAGCTCTCCTGACCGTGATGTATAGTCACCCAGATCAAAGCTCAGTTAAACTCCACTACTGCAGTGCAAAGTGTCCCAGCTCACAGCCAGGTTAAAGTCCACTCTCGTGGTGAAAAGTGTCCCAGCTCACGGCCCAGTTGAACTCCACTATCGCAGTGAAAAGTGTCCCAGCTCACAGCCCTGTTAAACTCCACTATTGTAGTGGAAAGTGTCCCAGCTCACAGCCCAGTTAAACTCCACTATCGTAGTGAAAAGTGTCCCAGCTCACAGCCCAGTTAAACTCCACTATGGTGGTGAAAGGTGTCCCAGCTCACAGCCCAGTTAAACTCCACTATGGTGGTGAAAAGTGTCCCAGCTCACAGCCCAGTTAAACTCCACTATGGTGGTGAAAAGTGTCCCAGCTCACGGCCCAGATAAACTCCACTATGGTGGTGAAAAGTGTCCCAGCTCACAGTCCAGTTAAACTCCACTGTGGTGGTGAAAAGTGTCCCAGCTCACAGCACAGTTAAACTCCACTATGGTGGTGAAAAGTGTCCCAGCTCACAGCACAGTTAAACTCCACTATGGTGGTGAAAAGTGTCCCAGCTCACAGCACAGTTAAACTTCACTATGGTGGTGAAAAGTGTCCCAGCTCACAGCACAGTTAAACTTCACTATGGTGGTGAAAAGTGTCCCAGCTCACGGCCCAGTTAAACTCCACTATGGTGGTGAAAAGTGTCCCAGCTCACAGCCCAGTTAAACTCCACTATGGTGGTGAAAAGTGTCCCAGCTCACGGCCCAGTTAAACTCCACTATGGTGGTGAAAAGTGTCCCAGCTCACGGCCCAGTTAAACTCCACTATGGTGGTGAAAAGTGTCCCAGCTCACGGCCCAGTTAAACTCCACTATGGTGGTGAAAAGTGTCCCAGCTCACGGCCCAGTTAAACTCCACTATGGTGGTGAAAAGTGTCCCAGCTCACGGCCCAGTTAAACTCCACTATGGTGGTGAAAAGTGTCCCAGCTCACGGCCCAGTTAAACTCCACTATGGTGGTGAAAAGTGTCCCAGCTCACGGCCCAGTTAAACTCCACTATGGTGGTGAAAAGTGTCCCAGCTCACAGTCAGTCCAGTTAAACTTCACTATGGTGGTGAAAAGTGTCCCAGCTCACGGCCCAGTTAAACTCCACTATGGTGGTGAAAAGTGTCCCAGCTCACGGCCCAGTTAAACTTCACTATGGTGGTGAAAAGTGTCCCAGCTCACAGCCCAGTTAAACTCTGCCACTGCAGTGAAAGCCTCCAGATTTGTGGCCCAGTCAAATTCCCCTGCTGCAGTGGAAAAGTGTCCTGACTCACAGCAAGGTCAAACTCTGCTGCTATGATGAAAAGCCTCTTGACCGGTTCTCAATCAAGGGAAAAACCCTCGAGCCAGCGGGGAAAGTTCAGAACAAAACAAATCACCAAAATACACAAACAATACATATTAATCAAACAAAAACCTGATGTAAAGTGGCCGTCCAAAATGTGCACAGCCTTCTTACACTGACCACACACGCATTTACAAGATGATGGCACAGTGCTGTGTTTTTATTTAACAAACTGTTGCATGATTTCAGTCTAATGCTGTGATGTGATTTTCTGTCCTACAGGAGGTTTTGTCTGGGCCATTTGTCCACCAGAGTGTGAGGAAAGGACACGGCCTGAGGTCCACTGGCAGGGCAGCGCTCTTCAGCCAGCCCAGAGCCTCCCTCCCTTCCCAGGTGAGTGCTTATCACAAAATAAAAAGTGTAGGTCAAAAATGACCTTTGAGGTTCTAACATAGTTTTTTACAGCTTGTTTGTTGAGTTGTATTCATTTCAGGCATGTACACACACACACACACACACACATACACACACACACACACACATACACACATACACACACACACACACACACACACACACACACACACACACACACACACACACACAGTGAAAGAATGACTTTATTAGGTATTAGTAATGCTAGTTTATTAGTTTATTATCCGTTATACCTTCACTCATTGACCATTTGATCAGAACCACCTTCCTGATGATGCACAGTTTAACAGCTGCCCTCTACCCTATCCATCAATGTAAAAGGGACCACCATAGGACCACCTCGGAAAAAGTATTATTTTGGTGGTGGATCATTCTCAGCATACCTATTACAACAAATTAGACCTCCTCATTTTACCCATCCTTGCAGTGAATCACCCGCATACATGCACACTAGTGAACACACACACTAGGGGCAGTGAGCACGCTTGCCCGGAGCAGTGGGCCGCCCTATCCATGGCACCAGGGGAGCAGTTGGGGGTTAGGTGCCTTGCTCAAGGGCACTTCAGTCATGTCCTGTTGGTTCAGGGGATTGAACCGGCAACCTTCCGATCACGAGGCTGGTTCCCTAACCTCCAGCCCACGACTGCCCCAAGCCTTTCGCGACTGTTCTCACAGTGTTTGATTAGGATTGTACCCCAACACTGCAGGACAGTAGGTCACTGGGAGCAGGGTTGATTCTGCCTTGTATACACACTGGCACTGATCTGTAACTGTCTAACGGGAATACAGCACTTTTTGACCCTTAAATCAAAATTCGTCCTGTTGAAAGATTCAAACAGGAAGCGAGGAGCGCTGCAGTTGGTTGGAGTTTCTGTACAGCAGAAGCAGTGGCACTCTGCCTGATGGTGTCGGCGGGGCAGAATGTCTGTGGGAGGACTGTTACACTGCTGTACACTAATGACATTTAAATGCAGCATGTTATGCACAATTACATTGTGAATGTGAGAAACCTAAATACAAGGTTCACAATGAAAGTCTGTTTATTGAGGCATCACCAAGTCAGCAGTTTAAACACAATGAGTATTTTTTTTTTTCCATTTTCATTTGAGATGTTTGAGTCCTCTGCATATGTCAGGCGGCGGGGGGGATGGGGTCACTGAGGCATCACAGTCTTAAAATTCTTGCATTAGCCAGTCTTGGTCCTGACGTAACCAGTTCAGCATGATGATTGGGTTGGGTTGAGTCAGGTTAGTTAGAGTAGGAGAAACCACTACGGCTGTGTCCACACGTATCAGGATATTTTGATGTCAATACTTTGATGTGAAACATCTTGAGAAGAACATTCATATGTGTGGACTGGTTTAATAGTAAAGGAAAGCTAAATTAAGTAAATATATAATCAAGCTTGGTATTACTGACCACTGTAACAGCCCAGTTGTCAGCTATGGCAGTTAGATCTGCTCAGCAAATTTAAGTTGATGCTGTGATGTCAACATTTAAAAAAAATATATAAATAAAATTTCAAAAGCTACATCTTCAATGACTCCTCTTGTTTTGCTGACGTCTGTTAACCCTTATGTACCATCACTTATCCAGAGACTGTGTGAGTTCCACCAAATTTTCAAAATTTCTGCATTACCTGTCCAGGTGAAAACACTGAACATTTTTTGGGAAAGTTTTAATTCAAATTTCAAAAGCTACATCTTCAGTGATGTAAAACACATGCAGATGGGAGGTCAAAATGCAGAGAAAACAAACTATAGAAAAAAATCTAGAAACAAAGTTTCTAAAATCCATGAAAAAATTTCAACGAATTCTATAAAAAATGTAATTTGTGAAGCAAAAAAATGGACTGTGAGCTCATATTGCAACAGCATCAAGTCACATTTTGCACTCAGTCTTCTCCCATACATACATCTGAGAGCTGAGAGCTGAAATACTGTTATTGTGATGGTAAATATTTCCTCAACACGTCATTGAGGCCTCCTGCGCCTCCGTCTAATCGCTAAGATTGCTCACATTGTTAAAGCTGCAAACGCTGCACTGATTTTATTAAATTGTCTGTATAATTAAATTGTTAAGAAATGTCTGCATAATCGTTAAATAAAGGTCATTCAGAGTGATTTGCTGTGAAATGCTCCTTTCTAGAGAAACTTACCAAATCAGAAGTGTTCTGGTAGTGAAAGGAACCAGACGTCTGACCTCTACAAGGTCCTTCACAAAATATTACATGAAAAGGTTTTGAATACACTGCGTGAAGCCTGATGCATTGTTTGATAGTTTTGTGAGAATGTTTTGGCCTTAAAATGTACTTTAAAGATCTGTGCAGGATGTTGGAAGGCAAAAGAGTCCCCAAAGAAAACATATATGTTTCCACTATTTCACTGCAATAGTAAATGAAATGGCTTTGTTTGCTTTGAAAACCTTGCGACCCCTGGTTCCCGTCCCCTCCACTGTAAAGAAATTCAAGTCAGTGAGTTTCTCTGCAATTAATCATTTCATACCAAACCACTTTGAATGACTGTGTACATCTTAATGTGTCAAATTGTGTAGAAATTTGACAATTGGGTGGAATTCCCCTTTAAAGGAATTCTCCCAACAAGATGCTTTTGAGGCAAGACTGCAAATTTCATGCAAAAATGGCCGCTGCTAGTTGCTCAGACTTCAGTAATTTGAGTGGAATATGTAATCAGCCGCACTTCTGATGACTCCACCAGTTTTCTGTGTGATTCGTCCACGTTTCGGGAGAACGCGTGAAGAAGAGAAGTGCGTTTTGTGCTTTACCGTGCAAGAAAACTGCACATTTAGACTCGTGCACCAGTTTTGTATGCAACACACAGACCTATCGTAGAGATTTGCACCTGAAACCGGGGCAAAAGCCTCAGTACCTCTGCCCCAGAGTGTGTTTGAGAGACTTTCCATGATATTGTTATGATAACCTCACTGTAGCGATGCTTTTGGAGCAACTCTCCATAGATTTGATTTCAAAGGAACATCCATTGCATCAGTAATTCTCAGTTATTCCCACTTTCCCTACTGGGAGCAGCTAGAAAGGCAAACTTCCTGTCTGCCCTGTTTGTTTGGGGCTTTGCTGTTTCGGCCTTGTGGCCATAGTAACCATCGTCAGTGCCGTCGGGCTGCCCTCTGAATGCGACTCTCCCCTCAGAAGTGGTTTGTTTTTCCTTATCAGTGCAGCCGGTTTGGGCGAGAGAATCCAGCGTAGTGACTGCATTATGTTCAGAAAATGAGCCCGAGGTCGAGTGTCTGCGTTTTCTTCAGCCGGTCCAGCAGGCTGTGCGAGGAATGAAAATTTTATGATTAGAACAGGATATTTGTTCCATGAGTGCGTGCCATCTCGGTTCTCTTCACAAACACATTAGCGAGCGCTGCACTCTGTGTGTTTGTGTATGCGTACTAGCGAATCAGAGAAAGTGTGTCACGTTTCCTGGAGTTTCTCCTTTTGGGTGTTTCCCCTGCATATGGAGCGTAAGGACTGATCACCTCCTCCCTGAGAGAGGAGAGACGACTGGAATCTGTCTGAGATCTGTCTGAGCGCTGCTTAGGAAGCGTCGGTACCAGATAAGAACAAGAGAAGAACATTTTGCTTCCTCTCGTTTTGCTGCAGTCTGTTAACCCTTACGTGACCTCACTCGTCCAGAGACTGTGGATTTCCCTTTAAGTCAGAGAGAAATTCCACCAAATTTTCAAAATGTTTGCTTAATTTTATGGATGATCTGTAAACAGTGTCATTCAGAGTGGTTTGATGTAAAAATACTCGCTGGCTGTGTTTACATTCAAAGATTTTTGCCAATCTGTTTGAATACATTCTGATTATAGATTAAGGCTGAGGTGTTCATGCTCACTCTAATCAGATGCAAAATCTCTGTTTACATGCTCTCTACAAGTAATCTGATCCAAAATTACATAGTAGAGAACCACTTAGTGTAGACGTTACCATGACACGAGCATCACGTGAGTCCAGTCAGAGTGAGATGAGCAGCAGTGAGCAGTGCTTGTGTTTTTAATTGCTTTAAAATGATGTCAGACTCAGGAAAACGTCCTTCACATGTCCTTATTAAAGAAGGCTGAGAGGAAGACGTCGTGTTCTGAGACACATAAGCTGGACGTCCGTCCCACCGCCGTCTTTTAAAGATCAGAGCATAAACTTCGTCTCCTCTGCAGACCAGTTTCTGCTCCGCCATGTTGAACGTTATAAACTTTCACTATGACGTGACGAACATGATCAGAACATACTTAAACTTTCCGATAGGGAATGTAATCAGATACAGACGTTTACACGGCTATTATTCTTCTATTTAACTGATTATCTACAGGATTATCCACCTTGATCAATCAGATAGAAACTGCAATTCGAATGGTCTATTCAAATTGAGGTGTTTACATGAACGTATTCTATTCCGATTGAGCTGTTAGTCAGATTATTAATGGATTATTCGGCTGCATGTAAACGTGGCTGTAGTAGAGAAACTCAACAACTGGTTTCTTCACAGTGGTGGTGATGGGAACCAGGGGTCACAATGTCTACAACACTAATACAGCCATTTTATTTACTATCCAAAACCACCCGTGAACCTACATGTGAGTTTCTGTGTGTAATGTTGACGGTGTTTTTAGAGACTAAAGTTTTCTAAAGGGCCTGTTTGCCTTACAACTCCCTGCATGTCCCTCTCAACCATGAAAAAAGTTTCAGGCGAATGCTTTTTCTCAAAACTATCATAAAACACAATCTCAGGCATTCATGACCATTAAATGTAATTTCTTGTGAGTGAGATTTTCCAGACATTAAACTCTTCAGACATCTGGTTCCCACCACCACTGTGAACATTTCTGTCTTGGGAGGTTTCTCTAGGATGGAGTATTTAACATCAGACCACTCTGAATGACTCTGTTTAACCATATATTTATGCAGAAATTTTGAAAGGTTAGTGGAATTCCCC